CCCCCCCTGAAAAACTCAGCTCTCTATGGCTATTTAGGGTTGTTTCATCAAGTCACCCCAGCCCGGCTCTATGTGGGTCACCGCAGCTTCCTTTTTCCCTGCACGACCCAACACAACTTGACAGACTTACTCTCCGTCAACGCTTCGCCTTTCTCCTCCTCCTCCTCCTCTTTCTTCTTTTTCTTCTTCTTTCCTTCTTTGGGCTTGGGCTCGTCTCGTGCGACAACGTCGTGCTTGTAGAGCGGCCGGAACGAGTCGAAGAATCCCACGTCCTCCGTCAGATTGGGCAGCAGCCAGAAGTGATGTTTGCCGAACGTGAGGACCCAGATACAGCAGAACAGAATCAGGCGCACTGGAACAAAGACAAGCTTGTTGAACAATAGTTTTGTCATAGTTTGTTGAGTTTTACGGCACTTGCAACACAAATAGTTCATAGAAAAGCTGAATATTTCCAGGTGTTACAAGACAGTGACAAACAAAGAAAGGAGGAGAAAAAAGGATGAGTGATGCTGGATGTACGGAAGAAGGAGCAAGTCACATGAATGTGGCCATGGGACCTGGGAGCAGTATAGAAATAAGACAGACAGACAAACAATTGAAGAACAGAAAAGAAGTGAGAACCTACCAGTGACACCCTCCAACCACCCACACAGACAGAAACAACAGAAGAACGGAAAAGAAGTAAGAACCTACCACTGTCACCCTCCAACCACCCACAGTTTAGTTTTAGTAAGAGTTTTACGGCACTTGCAACACAATAAGGTCATATAAGTACTGAAGATTAAAGGTGTTACAAGAGAGTAACAAACACAAAAAAGAAGGAGAGATAAGGATGATAGATTTTTTATAGGAAAGAAGGAGGACAGATACGGATGATAGATGTTTGACAGGAAAGAAGAAGCAAACCACAGCAGAGCACCCGCCAACCTACAACAGAGGAACAGAAAAAAAAAGAATCTAGCGGTGCCACCCGCCAACCCCCCGCGGTACTCACCTACAACAAGGGAGAGAATAAATCCCACAAATCCTGCGGCGGCCAGACTGAGATAGTAGACGCCGATGCGAACCTCCTCAGGCCACAGTGGGAACATACATAGGCCGATCGCCCCCAGCACTGTAGACAGACACACACATAGAGGGGAATACACAGGTTACTGGTTTAGGAAGCATTTTACGCCACTTGCAACACAATTAGGTCATATAAGTGGCGGAGATTAAAGGTGTTACAAGAGAGTAACAAACATAAAGAAGAAGGAGGAGAGATAAAGATGATAGATTTTTTATTGGAAAGAAGAAGCAAACCACAGCACAGCACCCGCCAACCACCCACACATACAAGAATGGACACTTCCTGCATACACCGACACGAACAAACACACATTGCTTTGATTACTTGGAGAACACCATTTGTGCCAGACAAGATCAGAGCGCCCGTCAACCACCCACATCCTATCAGAAAAGGCAGGTACACTTGTTCCATTAGCCCAGTCTAGCGGAAAACACAACAGAACTTTTGTTTGGTTTTTGTAAGTTTTACGGCACTCACAACTGTATAAGGTCATACGAGCGCCAAGGGATGGATGTCTACAGAAAAGTCCTTACAGGGAATCAGACTTACTCTGCTCACCTCTCTAGCTTCAACAGCACAAAGTCTGCTTCGACTATCAAGGCACCCCGGATATAGCGGGTCACAAGAGTGTGACAAACATACAAAAGAAGTAGAGGAAAAATGACGATAGAAAGGATTAGGAAAGAAAAAGCAGC